TAACCAAAACTTCTGGATCCGCCCCTGTATACTCCTGGGTGGAGAGAAGCAAACGTAAGTAAAGTGCCTTGCCCAAGGACACAAGCAATGCGACAGGCGTCGATCTCATACTGTTAATCTTACGATCAGTCCAACACCCACGCCGCGCTACACCCTCCTACTTATTGTTATACCAACCCCTAGGCTGGTCATCTGGTGTTTCAGTTTTAGAGCAAAAGTAACTAATCATATTCGCTGCGAATCTATCATCATTGGATTTTTGATTAATTTACAGAGAAAAACTAAATAATAATAAGAATAAATTACCACCGTCAGTTATATGTCTCTGATCGAAAAGGGAAACATTAAAAGCACGTCACAGGGATAGATATTGATAGGTAATCGCTAAAATTATTGAAAATAAATAAAACGTATCTACAACATATAACTTACACACGGATGCAAACATTGTCTTTAACCTTAGGCTTCTCCCAATATATTAGGGATACTTGATTAGCCAAGCGATTATAGGCTATTCGATGCGATTCTATCATCATTAAATATTTGATTAATTTACACAGAAAGGCTAAATGTCTTTTTATCTTTTTTATTCAAATATAAATTTACAGAATAACAAATCGATAGAAGCCAAAAGCTGAATTGAGGATTAATTTACATATTACTTTAAACTAGAAAAACATCAAACTTTCCTAAAGACAAATTTGATTAAGATATTTTACAATACAGAAAAAAAGAAAAAGAGGCGACACCACAAACATTTAAAATATAAAAATCACATGATCAAAATCATAATAAGAATAAATTATAACTGCCAGTTATGGTTCTGATCGACAAGCGAAACATTAAATGCACATCACATGTGATATCAATAGCTTATTGCTAAAATTATTGAAAATAAAAAGAAACTTATCTACCACTATAACGGACACATGGATGTAAACATTGTTATTAACCCTTCCAACTCTCAATACGAAGGGGTTATTCGAGGAGCCAAGCGGTCAGACTCCAATTATTAAAATCCGACGCTGGTCCTGTTTGAACCGGGATCTTCAGCAAAAGAAGCAGCCAACCGCTCAACTCGTTACTGTGGAAAGACAAGATTATGGAACGCTTTGTAGCAGGGGAAAACGTCATTAAGCATTGGCAAAATTGATGCTGCAGTCACCAAATGTATGCTGCAGTGGCTAAATATATGCTGTAATGACACTCTAAACTTGCAGTGACCAATTGAATGCTGCGGCGATTATGTTTCTTCTGCAGTGAACAATTTTACGCTGCAGAGTCATTTTTTATTATTCAGTGACCAACTTGTTGCATTTTTGTTTTGCTGCAGTTATCATTTAATTCTGGAAGTGTTTTTCACGTGACCGAGCATGTAATCTTTGCCCTGATCCATAATGATCATTACAGGCTGTATAAATTGGTGTAGTACCTATCGTTTCAATATGACGTGCTTAGATGACATTTTTTAGTAAGTTTTGAACGTTTTGGTGCATTTATAAGATAAAACGTAGGCTTAAATATCGTGTCACTATTGTCATGAAGGTATACCTCCATGCTATAGGGCACATAAACATAGATACCTGCTGGCGACGAAGGCGTATTCCATACACGCATCTAGGCCTACTCTTTAGTTTGGATTAAGTGATGAGGATTTTTTTTGCAATTTTATTATGGCCTTCAAGTATGCTTAAAAAGTATGGAGGTTTCTCTCCTCCGTGCCAACAACATGTCATCACAAACACACACACATACCCATACACGCTCGTAGGAAGCAGTTTATTATTGAACCCTGGACTCTGGATATTTCAAGTATTTAAGTATCCTACCAACAGGCTTTTCAATGCCACACCAATATCAGTTACATAACACTCGTATATATTTAATACTAACGCACGTATGTCAGGTCTGTGCGAATTTAATACAGTTTCTGAATCCACCCTTGTATAGTCATGTATTTGAAAACGAATCCAACGAATAAAAATAGCTATTATTTTAAAATTCTGTTTTAACTTATTTGGTAATGAATTCATAAATATTCTTGACTTTTCCATGGGTAGGTGATTATAGTACACACACAAGTTTACATAGCGAACACAATAAAATAGAAAGTATGTAAAAGAGAACACGAAAATCTGTAAAATTAATAACATTTTTTAAATTAATCTTGATTTTTACAATTTGTATTTCTACTTAACAATAAAAAATGAAAAAATTCATTCCTCAATTGTCTGGTTTTTCCAAGTCATACATCAAATTTAATTAGTATGCCTATTTCAATGAGTTGTCAGTGAAAGCTAATAACACTACTGGCTCATTTGTAGTTTTGTACCATGACAATCACAAACGGATGTGATGTTGTTAAACCCACTAAGCTCTGTGTATCTGTTGTACCGTCAGCTCTAACAATGTTATAGTATGATTTGGTTTAATGAACTTAACAATCATTAAACATCTGATCAGAATCCCCTAATCAGGTATGGTGACGGCATCATGAATGGTGATGTCACCGAAACTGATACATATCAGATCTATTAGGTAAATTCAAGTGCTCCACGGTATGCGCACAACCCTCTCATTGAGCTCATCATTAGCACAAGATATACGTTGAATAATTGCTAAATATCTGTGATGTTTTGTAATATAGTGTCGTAAAGTAATGCATATATTATGTGTGTGCCACAGGATAGTCAATCTAGTCTTCAATGTGTTTTCATGTGTGTTGCTACTTAACATTAATAAGTGTTTGAAACTTTCTTTTATGATTGTGCCACATACCCAGCAAGCTAATTTAAACGCGTTATAGTCATGATTAATATCGTTTTCTTCTTTGACGAAAACAATCAACCTTATTTCTTATTTATTTATTTATTTATTTATTTGTATTTTGCTGATCAGATAGAGAATGAGCTACAAATATAATGATTGTGAGATTGTTAAGAATATTAATTAAGAACCATTAAATTATTAATTTTTTCATCAATCTTGATTGATTCCTTTTTATTGTCTGTAGTTTGTAATAGTGCATCACCTAGCCTATATTTTTAATTGTTAGTTTGCTTCATCAATATTTAATATCAGATCTTCTCTTCTACATAACAACATGCAATATATTACCTTATCATTGTCTAATTTGATTATGTAGTTGCTTGTTGGTGTTAACTTGGGGAGTGTAATATTCCATTTCATTATTTTCTTTCTCAATGGTACAATAAGAAAGCAAAGAGGGTGGGAGAGGTGAAAAACAGTGAGAGACAGGATTCCAAAAATGTGCACTAAATATTTATCTAAGTTAGTTTCACAAAACACTGTGTCCAAAAATAAAATTCACAAGAAGACAATAAATATTAACGGAATATACTTTGTGTCTACGGGGATATTGGTAGCGGGTCTGGAGAACTTGCGAACACTGTTACTGCTTAGCTTCAATCCCCTGGAAAATATTTTAGAGGCCCTAATACTCAATTTCAACAAATACGAATATTTATTATTATTAGAATTTTAAAATTAAGTAAATGCCACTACAGTATTTCATTGATCAAAAGATAAACAAAAAAAAATCAATCAACAATCAAAAGAAGCAGACAATACAGACATGATTGTTTACCCAGGATCAAGGAAATTGTGTTTAGGTTATACCTTATTATCTATAGTAAAGTAATATAAAGTGTTCAAAGATGAAAGCAAAACCCAAAATGACCATATGCAAAACCATGTCTTAAAACTAACAGAGATTCTAAAGCTATTAATGAATTCATTAACGAAAGTGTTCCAAGCGACGTTCGTAACGTAATTTTCTTTCTTATGTTTCCTAATACTTTCTTTGCTTGTCCTTTCTTAAATTCCTTATCCTTTCTTGCCTTTTACTTTCTTATGTTCCTTATCATTTTTCTTTCTTGTGTTCATTATCATTTTTTTCTTATATTTCTTTGTTATTTCTTTCCTTTCCTTTTAAGTCTCCTTGTCATTTCTTTCCTTTCTTATGTTACTTTTGATTTCTTTCCTTTTCTTTTTTATGTTTCTTCTCGTTTCTTTCATTTTCCATTCTTAAGCCTCCTTATCATTTCTTTCCTTTTCCTTTCTTATATTCCTTTCATTTCTTTCCTTTTTCTTCTTAAGTTTTTTTCATTTCCTTCCCTTTCATTTCTTATGTTCCTTATCATTTCATTCCTTTTCTTTCTTATATTTTTTTATCATTTCTTTCTTTTTCCTTTCTTAATTTTCCTTATCATTTTTCCCTTTCAGCTTATCATTTCTTTTGTTTTCCTTTCTTATTATCTCCTTATCATTTTTAACCTTTTCCTTCCCTAATTCTCCTTATAATATCTTTCCTTTTCTTTCTTATGTTCATTTTTCATTTCTTTCCTTTTTCCTTCTTAAGTTTCCTTATCATTTCTTCCCCTTTCCTTTCATATGTTCCTTATCATTTCTTTCCTTTTCCTTTCTTATATTTCATTATCATTTCTAACCTTGCTTATGTTTCCTTTTATTTCTTTCCTTTTCCTTTTTATGTCCTCATCTTTTCTTTCCCTTTCCTTTCATTTTTTCCCCTCATCCTTCTTTCCTTTACCTTGCTTTTTATTAGAAATAGGTTACTAAACCGAACAACCAAAGGGCCGTAGCAAAACTAAGAATATATGAACTTATTGGAATTAGAAAAATAATGGCTCCTAAAACATAATGTTATGAGCCAGTCGGGCCGCCGACTTATTTTCTGTTGGTGATGAAAATATTAATGATACTAAATATTTTGAACCCATTAAAAATTACAGACTCATTTTACACGTTAAAAACTCATTGACAATGTTGACTCATCAGTGCATTGGTGTATACTGGCCACTCAATGAAACAGACAACCAACCGTAGGTAATAAAAGTGCCTTGCCCAGGACATAAAAGAATTGTACAGGAGAGTATAATCTCCTTAATATAAATCCGAATGACTGTGCGTAGGCCTACAAAAATTGGAAACACAAGACAGTAGTTCCTTAATCACGTGACTGGAATAACCAATCACACAACTTGTGAATATTTGTGATGTGGCGTTATTTATCACTAAGACTTATCTACAGACACTTCACTAATCGACATGTCATAATCGTACATAGAATAAATGAAGAATTTACTGCAGAGTGAGATATGGAGAGTCTACACAGACCTGGGTAAGTACAGTACTGATACATGGCCTTCCATATTTAGAAAAGATTTTGCGCTGGGTGTCTCTGGCCGGTACTTTGGTCACATTCTGTGCTTAGGTCTTCTTCAAACTTTTTCCAAGCAAAGACCATAATTATATCAAAGATTAAGATTATTAAAATATATGACGTCATTCTACATATTTCAAATATTAATTAACGGGTAATTAAACTTTTATATTAACGCAATTTGAATTTCAAACTTGTTACAGCTATGTTAAACACAAAATTACATGAATAATTTTCGCCCTCGACTTATAACATGACACAGACTTAACAAACTAAACATCCATTAACCTCCTCAGGGTTGGGTTGTTTAGCGTAATGGTTGGAAATCTCAATCTTACTATTACCACTGCAGCCACAGGTCGAGTCTCATTGACGTCGAGTTGGCTTTCATGTTTTTTTTTCTTTTCTTTTTTACTTCATAATCTTCTTTAGTAATTTCAACATCAATTCTCATTGTGACAATGAGAAAAAACCATATGTTGTGTTTTACAAACATAGTAAGTCTAGTTTTGTATTGTTTTTATTCAATTTTCATTTTCCCACTCTCCCATGGAATGGAAGTCTAGACTAGTCAATTTGATTGATTAATAATTGATATTGAATATTGATTTTTATCGAGAAATGATACACCAATATTTTCACTGCCTGTCCTATATACAAATCATCTACATAATTCCATGTATTACATGATGAATTGATAAGAGCAAGGAATAACAGAGGACCGAGTAGAGAGCCCTATGGACCCCACATGTAAGATTAACACTCAGATAATATATATGTTAGTGTACATAGCATATTGGGTTCTATTCCACATGAAGCTTATGCTCCAAAGTATAATTTCACCACTGCCAACAGTTACTAGTTTAATTTAGATACATCAATTTTGTGATTAACACTACCATAAGCCTTACTTAACCAGTTAAGACTAACTTTGCGACTGATTTTGAAACACGTAATTAATAGTTTGACCAAATAATGAGTTGTGGAAAAATGTTTGCGACCACCATATTAAATAGTTGTCAAGTTCTTCTCAATATCAGATTTTTTATATTACACTCTCAGATTAGGCGAGTGAAATTGGTCAAAAGCTATTGGAAATTTACAAAATTACTGATAAATTAAAGAAATAGAATGTATTGAAAATCAAATCAAATTACATTCGATCTCAATGTAACTTTACATAGATAATGCTTTATCATTTTTATTTATGCCTCCAAATGGATACATAAATGGATAAACAGATAAATGTATAAATAATCTA